AACGTATTTTCCACCCGGTAATTTAAGTACATTAATTTTTCACATTTCGTTTACTTTCAGACAACTTCCGGAGCTTCTGTTTCATATGCATGAACTACGTTCTTTAGTACAGCAGTACAGCGGTGTTATCCAGAGATATTATACTCAGTATGTTCATGGTTATGATGCACTTATGTTAACAGAGATTGTACAGACCTTGGAGGGTTTGACAGATGACCAATCAACATTGCTTTCTGATTTTTGTTCTGATGTAACACGCATAAACGGTAATTGGGCTTTTGAGTATAGCAAGCTAATTTTTTAGTGATATCAATAGGTCATTTTTAACCTTGTTTAACTTATTGCATGCACCAATTTGTTTATTTTTTAGAAGCTAAACTCGATTTGCGTGGTCTTCGCCTCGATTGGTTTAGGTTTCAGGCATATGTAAGTGTAAATCGATCTCCTTTTTCTCTTGCAGACAATCGAAAATTTGCAGCGACCATGAATACTACTGTATTCCATCTTAAAATGATTGATTTGTTGGAAGATATGTTGAGGGAGACGTCAGATCTCTCAGTATACTGGTATTTAAATTTTTTTATAATTGTAGAGCTCTACGATCTTCAATTAATTGCTGTTTCCAGGAGTGCTAATAAACTTGTAATATCTAACTTTTGTTTATTTACAATTGGTGAAGTAAATGTTGCAAATAATGATCCTGTATTTTAGTTTTTATTATCATCAGCTAGAAAAGCAACTGAAGTTATGCCTTCTCTATCCTTCTCAGGCGCGTTATTCAATTGCTTTTGGTCATATTTGCTCACATTTTAACTCTTCCATACATGATTTGTGTCCTGAAGAGAGGGATTTTATTAAGGAAAAGGTATGCGTCCAAACAGTTCAGATTTGAACGGTGCACCTCTGGTTCTGCTTGTTTTTTGTATTTGTACAATGATTCTTTTACACTTAAGTATTTTTGAATGAAGGGATTTATTTTTTCTGGCAGTAATATTAATTTTTACTTTTCTTTGAGGTATTTTCCTTAGCTTTCTTAAATTGCCCTTTGCCTTAAATTACTCTATAAGCACTCCTTGCAGAGTCTTTCTTTATGCAATATGGTCCTAGATCAACTAGCGCTGGAAACTTCAAATATCGTGGCTCAAATTTGCGAATACGAGGTCCAACTGAGTGAAAGTTTGTCGCCAGTTAGCTGCGCAAAAAACATAGAGGAAGATTTCAAACGAAAAAGTTAGTATGAACTAAATTTTTTAATATTATAAATAATTCAAAAAAAAATTCTTTATTTCCGCCCCAGTTTCTTGGCTGTTTTTTTTTCTTTGTGTATTATTTTTTAGATTCAAAGGCACCAGTTCGGAATCATGTAATGCCAGGAGATGAAAGCGTTCGCGTTTGTCGAGACACTCTTACTGTAGCAGATCGTCTACAGACGTCTCTCTTTGAGTTATGTTCTGCAATTGCTGCGTCACGGTAAGAGGGTTTGTAGATTTCCTCTGCTGTGTGGAAATTTATGAGTAAATTAATTATAGATATAAATTTTTTTTGAGTGGATGCTCCTTTTTTGGATATTTCAAAGCACTTCTGGTAGAATTTTAGAGAGATTGATGTCTCCGGACACAGTTTTGTTCCTCGAGAGTATTTTTCGCGACAGTTAGAACAGCAGATGACTACCAGCATAAGGACACTGATCGCGTCCAATGAGATACCTAAACGTCCTTCGGAACTTCTTGCACAGATTCATGCTCATATGGCTGTTCTTCAGAACATTGATACAGCAGGTATACCAAGTGTTTCTTTAGAGGGACTCGTTGATTAAATAATAAAGGTTATTTTTTTAGTAACTGTTGATATTACTCGGCTGTTTAACAATGTGCTGCTGCAGCAAACTCAACCTGTGGACTGCTATTCAAAGGAAACAATCACATCAACATATACTAAATGGTCACCTAGTGTAATTAGTTTGAGCATTTAGAGCATTTAGAAAGACATTTTTCTAAGGGTTGCGCTTCTTTTGTGTGTAAGATGAAACTATTTTTTAAAATTTTCTGAGCCGTATGTTTGCCAAATGATATGCTGGCACTTACAGATGAAACAATTAAGGCATTTAAGGTACCTCGAAGTTTTACTGCGGCGGATGAGTCTCAATTATATCCTATTCTCGCCACATTTAGCTTCGCTCGTTCCAAATATGGAATATCAGCAACCGTTTAGCCCTGAACAGTATACTGATGCAAGAGGTAATATCATAAAGTAACTTAACAAAGCTTGCATTAGTTCTCTTATTTTCAGTATTTTTTGAAGTTGCTGTTTTAGTCTGAGCTATTCACTCTTCTGAATTGTCATGAGTTCTAACAAGTTTTATACTTTTCTTGTTTTTATTCAAACTTATTGCCCGTAGTTTACTCAACTTTATCCTACTTCTTCTTGCTCTTTAGAGTTGCGTGCGCTAGCACAGCTATTAGGTCCGTATGGAATTAAATTTATGAGTGAAAGGCTTGTGTGGCATGTCGCATGTCAGATCACTGAGTTGAATAAGATTGTTAATGAGCATCGAGATACACTTCGAAAAGCTAGGAGTAATTTTGATAAACCGGAGAAGATGCGAGAGCTGCTTTTACTGCTGAGCGGTGATATCACTGACAGAAAAACTCAAGTAAGCAATTCTTTATTACCTACTTTTTTTTTATTTTTTAACTGATTATAAAATACAAGTTAAGCATTTGTGGTTCTAATCAAACTTATTTATGCTAAAGATTTTCAACTTGGGAAACATTTTGTTTTCAATTTGACATAAAGTTTTAGACCTTTTTATCTTTTAGAGCATTAGTGCGGGTCCTATGGAGTCGGTTCTTCAGCGTATCACAATTATTGGGGAAATTCTTGCGTTTAGGGAGTTGCTGCATAAGGCTGTCCACGATGTGCTAGAAACTCGTTTGCCCTTCCTCCTCTCATCTGTTCATAATTTGCATGAAAGTTGCGGCGACCACGACAAGCTTGTAAGTTTAAATTGCTTTCTGAGTTCTAGTTTAAGCAGTTTTGTTTGTTCTTTCTTACCAGAAAGTTTTTTGACTATTAAAGAAACGTTGTCGGATTGTTTTACTCTGCTTTCATCCTGCTTCTTCATTAAGTGTCAGCATTTTTTTGAAAATTGGTTGTATTGATTTTTCCCCATTATGGATACTTTTTAGGTTATCTCTGAAATGTGTGCAGCCGTAGGAGTGGAGACTGAAGTTGACGTTGCGTTGGTAAATGCCATTAGAGCACAGTCTCAGGTGAATCCTATGATCTTGAATATCTTGATTATCAGTTTAGGTCAGATTTAACTGACTTAGCAAAATGTTTTATATTTTTTTCAGCAGTCCCAGTCTCCCGATGACCCGTACTTGGTTTCTTGTTTGTTATTTGTATTTATTGCCCTATCATTACCTCGTCTTGCTCTCAATAATTCAAGCCTTTTTAAAGCATCATTATGCGGTTAGTGATCACTTAATCTCCTTTTTCCTTAGTAAATTTGCTCACTTTACTTTTAAGAAGTGAAAAATTATGTTTTAGCATCACAGAACAATTCGCAGTGTATTGCTATAGCTGTTTCATCATTGGCGAATGCGCTTTTTTATTTACACGGGAGGAGAGATGTTGTAGAACGATTGAAAGAATTTTTAGCTGTGAGTAGTATTCAGTTTTAGAGAAAAGTATCGATGCTTTTTTCTTACAAATCTCTGCATGAAACGCTCGTGAATTTCTGCTCTAAATTTGCCTTGCAAAGAATTTTGTTTTTGTTCAAGCGGTTTTTTCTACTGAGAGAAGGTGTGGAATGTAAAAATATCTTTACAGCTGGCTTCTAGTGGTTTGCTTCGCCTGTCAAGTGAAGAAGCAAGCAATACGGAAATTCTTAACAGTAGACATTCTGTTTATATTATTTTAGATCAAGTAAGTTCATTTAAAGTGATGGTCGCTTATGATTTTTCTAGATTTGATTAACTGCTACATTATAGTTAGTCAACCGGTGTTCATACTTGACTTTTGACCTCCTGGAATCATGTTTGCCTTACAATCTCATTCGTTCCTCATATCAATACTGTTACCGTACTGAGATGGAAAAGTGATGGTTGGGATCCGCTTGTATGAATGTGTTGGCCAAGGTCAAAATTTATGCATTCTTTCGTAATTCTTAGTCTTGCAGAAGTAACATTTCTGGTTTGAAGTAGGTTCTGAAAGCTGCAAATATTGTTAACTAGGAAGGAATCTTGTTTTCATAAGGATTTGTTTTTCCACGCTCACTTTTGGCGTTAATTCGTAATAGGTAAAAAAATTTTAGATTTGGGAGTCTTTCCGCAATAGAGGCCTTATTCCCCACCACTAAAACTGCTCTGGCGCGGCGAATAAGCGGCAGTTTAATTAAAGAATAAGTGATTATTACATGTCACGTGAGGTTGAAACTACCTTTATGCATCCAGTTCCATGTTTGCCTGTTGTCTGCTCCTTTTCACTGTCTTTTTCCTTGATTTTCTGTCGATGTACTTGTGTTGTCATGCTGTTCTTCTTTTGCATGATTTAAAGAAATGAAACGGGTTTGCCAGAAATAAGTGTTTTTTGGTCACAAAAGTGGGATAAATGTATTTTAATGAAGGAAAGGACGAGCATTTTTCAATTCCAAACTTCTTTTTTTGATTTGAGGCTTCAGACATCATGCGTATTCATGGTGCCTTTCCAATATACCTGCTGTGGTGGTTATAGAAACATGGCTTTCTAGAAGTGAGGCCCTGAACGCTGTCACAAGACTGGTTGCATTTCAAGACGTATTTTGAAAACCACCTGTTATACACTGGTGGTTTACTTTTTTGAAACTTTTTGTGCGCATAGGAGATCTGTATGCGTTAAAAAGTGTGCTAAACGCTTTAATAACTGTCAGCTCTCCTCATCTTTATATTTTGTCACGAACCTTTGTGGGCTTAATTTTAATCTGTGGAGCAGAAGAACGGTCTAGTCAATAACAGCTAATTTTTTAGATTGAAAACCCTTAAGGAAGCAGAGTTCACGAGGGCTTCTCTGCCCCTAATGAATCCCACCGAGGAAGAAACCCTGCAACTTGATCCTGAATGTCTTCAAAACTGTTTTAAAACCTAAGAATAAAGAAAGGTAATAAAGTATTTACCGGACAATAAAAGCAGTTATGTCCTGAAACAATGGCTGTGGTCCGGAACTCATTTTGCGGATCGCGCCATCCAGGAAATAATTTAGCGTAGTGGAGCCTTGCATCGTGCACGTGTCTTTCACTGAGAGACGATGACAAAATATTGAAAGATATTTAGTGACGATTAGATGATTCAAGAGATTTTTTATTGCATTAGACGAATGCCAATTTAAGATGAAAATAAATCTGTCGTTTGAAGGTAATTCTCCAGTGACCTACCGTTGTGATGTGAATAGATTGCAACTAGCCTCTTCGGGAACTGCCCCTCCCATCCTCCCCTCCTTCCCAGTAATTACGCTAATGGAGCCGGATTTACTGTGGGAATAGTTTGGGCAGACAGAAAGTAGATCATTTAAAGAATGACAAAAGAGTAAATTCTGTCAAGTCTCTTTCTCGGTACAGCATTATGAACCAATGAATAAGTACTTCTACAACGATTTCCAATGCCAAGTTAAAGCTGGAATTCTTACCTAGCTTCTGGCGTTTACTTCTGAAATCACAAAGTCTAAACAGCATACCTAGAAAAACAAAAAAAAGAATCTAACATAAAAGAGTGCTTTTCAGGAAGGAAACTATCCATTACCTTCCCTTTAACTGCTCAACAGATTTCCTTCGTACCTCATGAGGAGCTCATTGAAACCAAAAAGCGGCTCCTCTCCTGTCCCAAGTTACGAGTACCTACCAATGAGTTAACCTGTGAAGCTAGCAATTATATTATAAACATCAGTGAGCAACAACCCAAACACGTGATCAAGAGACAGTTTTAGGAAAATTTGACTTCATCTGAAAAAGAAATTGGAAAATATCTTTCCTTAAAAGATTTCAGAAAGAAACACTTTGCTTCTTTCTTTTCAAAGGCTTCTAAAGATGCTTCTTTTTTCACTGAAAACTGCCAACAGGTTTTCTGCAAAACAATGTACTCTATTTGAAACTAATCTAATCAAGATGGTCTCTTCTTTCCATTTCCGTTCACTTTCTAATTAAATTCTACATGAGTGAAGAGCGAAAGAAGCAAAAAATTCAAAATATCGGACCGCAGTTAAAGTGTTAAAAAAATCCCTTAGAGTCTCCGCAGAACAGTCTGCACTCCTTCGAAATCATTTAAAATAAAATTGCTCATTTTCCCACGGAGAGAACGACTAATGGAGTTTGAAGATCAGGCGCAGAAGAAAGACATCTTCCAGCAATGGTATCAAAAATACAGAGAGCACAAGGAGGACAAGATAACGAAAGCTCCAAAAAGCTAATGCTCTGTTTAAGAATCCTGAGTTGCTCTTCATACAACTTAGAAAAACCTTAACAACGCGGAGTTTCCTGCAAGGCTACTTTTCAGAGTCAAAAAGCGTATAATGAAACCGAACTAAACTCAGAAAATTTTTATAAAGCAGAAGATGTTTGCACACTGGTTTGAAGCATTCTCTTTTTACAAATCAGGAATAGTTGGAACTTAATGAGAAGCTGTCTGTCAAGCGTC